AACGCCTGACAACTAAACAAGCTGAATATAGCAGGAGAGAAGGGGACTATCAGATATTATCAGAGAAAGCACACAGTGATAATCACTTTCTCCACCCCTAATGAAGAATCAATTTTCCATGTCTTTATAACATCATAGAGTTTGTTCTCTTTAAAATGCCACATTTAAAAACAGAATCCATGTAGCCCTACAATGGAAACGGATAACATTTCCTGAAACAAAGCATTGTTCCACCCCTCACATATCATGTTTCCTTAAAAACAAGGGAAGAAAAACATTACTTGGTTTTTCTCCTAATACTGCACAAACATTGCTGAGCTAAAAAGAGTCTGTGCTCATCCCTTTAGAATGCTTTCAAAATAGATTTAACACATACCCCCTGTACCGTGAAACACAACAAGAATTTGATAGTATCAGGACTGGAAAAATCCAATGGCTCCTGCTAAGCAGGACGTGTCCCATGCCCGTGTGTGAGGGAGCCTCTGGCACCAAATCTCTGGAGGTTTGGGTAAGCCCTGCTGGCACAGCCTGTCAGCAGAGGCACAGGTGTTGTGCCAGCAAGCCTGGGCAGTTTATTTGGATTCCAAAGGATTATGGACGAGCTGTGAAGTTCAGAATGCTACATGGGTACATATGAAGTCGACAGGCTGAGAAACCTGGGGAGAAGAGAAGGTTGTGTGGATACCTCACAGCACCTTCCAGGATCTGAAGGGGGCCTAACAGGGAAGCTGGAGAGGGACTGGACTCTTCATCAGGAATTGTAGTGATATGACAAGAAGTAATGGGTACAAATTGAAAGAGGGGAAATTTAGGTTAGATATACAGAAGAAATTCTTTATTGTGAGGGTGGTGAGGCCCTGGCACAGGTTGCTCAGAGAAGCTGTGGCTGCCCCATCACTGGAAGTGTCCAAGGTCAGGTTGGATGGGGCTTGGAGCAACCCGGTCTGGTGGAAGGTGTCCCTGCCCATGGCAGGGGATGGAATGAGATGAGCTTTAAGGTCTCCTCCACCTCAAACCATTCCATAATTCTATATATACTTACATATTCATTTCCCACACAGCTTTCAGAAGAAGGGTAAAGTTACCTTGGGTTTGCTGCAGAATAACTGACAGCTCTGCACTGTCCCCTCGTCCACATCCAGACCCTTTGGAGCTCCCAGAACACAGCTCCTCTCACCAGGTACAACCAACGTGTATTCCAGCCAACATTTATTTTCCCAGCCCTGTACAAGGACAGGTCTGGCTGTCCTTGCTGCTTTGCAAGGAGGCCCAAACCAGCAGTGTCCCATCAATTTTGTGATGCTGCCTTCAAGAAAGCAATGCACCACTGCAACAGCAGAGGTTGGAGAGGGGGAAACTGCCAGAGGGAGAAAAGGAGCTTTCAATCCAGGCACAAAAGCCTTCGGAGTTTTCAAAGTTCACTGACAGCTGTGAATGTCAGGAAACCCAGCTCACACCTTTGGAGCAAGTTAGAGCCACATTTCCAGGAACAGGAACAGGCAGCACTCAGGAGCTCTCCTTGCCACGCAGCTGGATGGATTTTCAGTAGAGCTCAGCAGTGCTGTGCTCCTCTGCAAACAGCATTGAGGTGGCAGGGAGAGCATTTCTCAGAATCAGGCATGTATCAAAAAATACATATTTCACAATCCCTTGGCAATAGTGTCATCACAGCAAGGCACAATTGCCTCAAGCTCAGGCTACATGAGTAACCAGATCAGCCACACCGTCCTGGCCCTGGGGGATTACTCTGACCAGCCTGATTCAGCTATGCAAAATGAGAAATGTGAGTAAGCAATAAGGTAGTTAACAATGTAAAATATAAACCTAAGCTTTAAAGCCCTTCCAGCTTTAATAATGGATGGAGGGAAGCTTTAACCTTTCTTGGTTTGGTATTTATTTTACAATGATGCGGTGGAAGCACAAGGTCACAAAGTTTCACATTCTTTCCTGCTTCGGTCACAACTCGTTTTCAGGACAAGCAAAATCCCCTGCTCCTGTGATAAGTACTCTCTGAGCTGGATTCAGGTATTTCCCCCGAAATGTCAGTTGTCTAAGTGCTTGTCCTCCTCCATGGGGAATCCCTTTTCACAGAACTGCCAGAGCCAGCTGGAAGCAGATTAGTTAAAAGACGGACTTGAATGTTCACTTAAAACAAACTGTCAAACGTTTTGGCAAACTGAGCCCTACTATCCATGATCAAAAAGAAAAACTGACCCACATGGCAACAACCTCTGCACTCCAACCACCTTTTGAGACAGTCACTATTGCTGGGAACTTCAGTTCAATGGCCACAACCAGAGACTCAGCAACAGGGAGCTACAAAGCAGAAAAACAACGTTTGCGAAGCAGCCGGGTCTGAGGCTTTGTGTGAGAATGGCAAAGGTTGTAATTTTGGGGGGAATTCCATCCATTCTGCCCAACTCAGCGATCAGAAAGTTCAGGAGGTAAGATCATTCCCCACCAGGAACAGGAAGAAACCCAGATGCTGAAGGGCTGAAGGGCACAGTAGCCAAAAAGCTGACCACAGCCCCTGGAGCTGGCAGGGACCTGAGGGGCAGTTTTAAACAGAGGATGCCCAGCCACACTCCACCTGCTTCCAAACCCAGAGGTGCTGCCATGAAGTCCTCCAACCCCAGTCGCAGGGCTGTCTTTGCACAGTGCCATTGGCATCAGGGATGGCTCCACAGGTGCCAGGATACCATTGCTTTTATCACATAACTGTAAAAATAACTGTGCCTTGCCTCCACACCACCTTAAATATACAACCTGTCCACGGAGCACTCGTTTGCCCTGAGGTCTCATAAGCAGAAACACAAACCCCCTTAAGTGTCTGGCACAGAAAACACTCCAGGCAACACAACCTATGGGGATGGGCTTACTCTGCAGCTCCCCAGGCAGGCTGAGTTTTAAGAAGGAATTAAAAAAAATACAAACTCAACTTCTACTTCAGTGTAAGTAGGGGAGAACAGAGACAGAACTGCACAGGTCTGAGCGGGTTTGAGCACTGACTTCCTATTCCTGCTTGTCCCTGCTTAGCTGGTCTCCACCCTCACTTTCTCCAAAACACTGAAGGGATAAGCAGCTTAACACAACTCAGCCTTTGCTTTCCCTGTCATTCCCCAAAGACCAATGAACAGGGGTTTGTATTAATGATACTTTAGGAGCATTAAGAAAAAAAAACACGCTAACAGCCTTGGGAAAGTACATTTTGAACATCTTCTCTGAAGAACATGCAGCCATGAGAAGATAGTGAAGATTCACTAGATAGCTCGTTTGAACACTGGAACTTGCGCAGACACTACTTTTTATTTCCTAGATATCCTTCTCTGCCTTGAATACTCCAACCAGATAAACACGAGAACACAGAAGTGCTCTGACCACATTGTCAAAACAAAGTCCCATCTCCTCACAGATCCACTCATCAAGCAGATGCAGAGCAGAAGGACAAGACGGGCCTATATGGTACTTCCTCCTCATACTTTCCCACCCTCCAGACATTTTTAGCTCAGGGACTTCCTGAGCAGGATGCCATTTCTACATATTTGGTAATTCTCAATGGATTTCTCTACCATGAATTTGTGCAATTGTCCTGAGCCAGTGTAACCTTCTAATACCCACAGCACTGGCCAAGTTTCACGTCACTTATCTGCAGCAAATTACCACACCAACATCCTTTTGCTTGTTTTAAACCCTGCTCCTACTAACCCCATTTGAATTCCTCACCCCCAGTTTTCATATCAGGACACAGAGTGAACGATCAATCCCTAAAGGTGTGTAGATCTAGGAAAGGAACCAAGTGCCAGGAGTTACTTGTAGGTTACTTGTAACAGGTTCTCTGTTTCCCCTAGTTACAATCCTTGAGAATGAAAGCTAACAGATAAAAATGAGATGTAGCAAATAGTATCTTGTTGACCTTCGGTGTCCTACTTTCAGCATTATTACCTGCCAAAACTTACCTCCAATTCCTTAATTTTCTCTTCGGCTATCCTCTGTTTTTCTAAGAGCTGATTATGAATCACTCCTTTGGGCTGGAGAATAAACCTACAAGTAAAAAAAGCAGAGAGAGACAACGTTGGATGTTTTTTACAGCTGTGTGCACCCAGCTACACACCAAGTTAAACTACAGCCACCTCTCCTAAGTGTTCATCCTCATCCCTGTGTTTGGGACTGAGGCAGGAGAAATTCCTCTGCCAGCTCACAGAGGTTGGTCCCAAAGGCTCACCAACCTCATCCATGCTCTTGGAGGATGAACATGGGTGCACACATATCTTCCCTTGTCATTCAGTGTCCTTGAATGATCTGGAAGCAGTTCTGGCACACAGACAGCAAGGGGAGTCTGTCAGCATCTTCTCTTCACAGGGATTTAAACCAGTTTTTTGCATGCAGTCAAGGAAGACTCTTCCAACAGGTAAAAGCCATTTATTACCTGTGTAGTGCTTGCAAGGTGAATAAACCTGCACAGTAAAACCAAAGGTTTCCACAGGGAAAGGCTGAGGGAGGTGGTGTTGTACAACCTGGAGAAGAACAGGCTCTGGGGAGACCTTACTGCAGCTTTTCAACATATAAAAAGGGCTTATACAAAAGACAGAGAGACTTTTGACCAGGGTCTATCATGACAGGACAAGGAGCAACAGTTTTAAACACAGCAGGCCAGGGTTAGGTTGGACATAGGGAAGACAGGTTTTACTGTGAGGGTGGTGAGGCCCTGGCACAGGCTGCCCAGAGAAGTTGTGGCTGCCCCATCCCTGGAAGTGTTCAAGGCCAGGTTGGAGCAACATGGTCTAGTGGAAGGTGTTCCTGCCCATGGCAGGGGGACTGAACTGGATGGTCTGTGAAGATCCTTTACAACCCACACCCTTCTGTGATGTGACAATAGAGAGACAGGTGCTTCCAGCAGAGAGCCATGAGCTTTCACAGCTCCAATTCTCAGTCCTTGGCTTTAACCCACCCCTCACTGACCTCCAAATTTCCATGCTTTCACCTGCCAAGGTGTTTTTCTGTGGGAGGAGAAGTGGCCATTTTTAACTGGAATTGCAGCCACTGGTTTCCACTTGTTCTGTTTTCAATTGTCAAAGGGATTTGAAAGATGCATCCACAACATCTCAGTCCTTGCAGTCCTGCTCACCAGCAAGCAGAAAGCTGACTGCCTTGCTCAGAGGAGCCTCTGAAGGAGCACCAGCATTCAAAGCAGCTCTCCAGCACATGGCACTGTCATCCCAAAAAGAGGTAAAGGACAACTAAGTTCAAACGAATTTGAGGAACCCTCCATGGTCGCTTTTCATCCTTCCAGACATAAAGAATGCACAAGCTGCAGATTCAACCCCCTCCCTACTTAGAAAGTCCCCCAGGGGATTTAGAAGGAGCCTCCACGGGTCATACCAATGAGGTCAAGGTCTCCTCCAGCACCAACTAGGGTCAATGTCTTCCTGCCAGGTGACAGGAGCTCGTGCTTGAACGGTTAAAAAGAGCAGCTTTAGACAGGGCAGAATCAGAGCACATTCCCCGTCTGCTACAGAAAACTCTGAAATCAGTTTGCAGTGTCATCTCCCACCACAAATTACATTATTAACGTGTTTGCTCAGGGCCTGGTAAACACAAACACAGATCTGCCACTTGGCTGGAACCCCAATGGACTCTGCATCAGCAACGCAACAGCCAAAAGGAAAACTCCCCGCCACACACATTCCTGACACGCATGGGAGCAAATCTGTGGTTAATTATAACAGGTTTCCAATTAAAACTCTCTTTGGGGCTGCTATTAACTGCATGTAGTGATCACCTCCTCCTCCTCCTCCCTCTTCTCTCCCCGTTCCACTTCACCTCCTCTTTTCCACAGGAATTTCCGCTGTATCTTTTACGTCGCAATTTTCTCAAATCTCTCCTTGTTTCTTCCCAGTCTCAGCTCATGTTTATTGCTGGCTTTATCATCTTAATTCTCTATCTGCTTCTGTTCTTACCAACGCAGCTCACTCAGACTCTCTCAATCTCCCTTTTCCCACTAGGTACACACAGTGGTAATGGTTTGGGGTCCTAGCACACAGCAGGCCGCTGAAGTAAAAACGCAGGTTTTGCCCAGTCTTGTGAAAATCAAGTCCAAAACCACCCTTCCAGGAAAGAGGAGTTATTTACATTGCTATTAGATGCAGAGCCAGACAAGAGCTTTTTTTTCAGGACCACATCATTCTGATGCTCTTACCTCGAGCCTACAACACCAGAATAAAAATCATCAGCCTTCACACACACAGCCCTGTAGATTTTGCAGTGAACACTCAAACTTTGCCTGGTAAATACTCAAGTTTTGCCTTATTTCTGCAGCAGCTGCCATTGGTGAAAACCAAAGCTGCAAGATGCCCTCTGTACACAAAGCCATCAGTCCCTTCCCACGTCACCGCTTCCCCGAGCCTGCCTGTGTATGTGAACATTTCCTGAATTATTTCCTTTTTTGTGGGGGCAGCAAAGAAGAATGGAATCCCTTCTCATTTGCTTCCCCAAATTGTACAGCAAGATTGATCATTTTGGTTTCCCTGACGTCCCTGGTCTAAAAAACAACATTCACCACCAACACTTGAGCAATTTTCCCTGTGCTGCAGCTGGGAAGGTCCCGGCGCTGGGCGATCCCGACTGGCTGGGAACAGCCACGGGCACCAAAACCTCCGACAAACAACCGGCTGACTTCACTTCTATTCTGCAAATGTCAACAGCAGTCATTGGGGAAAATATCCTCCCTCCCAGCCTCCTGCAATGCTCTGGCAGACGTGTGACAGCAAATTAAAACGGTGTGGCTGAAGTTAGCACTGACGGGACTTGTGCGGGCAGCTGGGCACAAGCACAACCACCCCCCTTCTGGCTGCTATAAAACAGAGGGCTGGAACCTGTGTCCATTCACACTCTTGCTCAGAAGCAGAGCAGATGTCCCTGCCTTGGCCAGCAGCATCCTGCAGGTCTTCACCAGTACTGTCTTCAAGCCACTCCTTTGAATTCCCTGCCATGAGACCACAGAGCCCTCAGCCTAAAGCACACAGATGCTGCCCTGGAAGCTGCCGAAGGCCAGTTCTTTGAAAGCTGAAGCTATAAATCTGAAATCCACAGTTAACTATTTCAATCTGGCTTCACTTTCCAACATAAGAAGGACTCAAAAAACTCACCAGTTTTTTAGCATCTAGTTTGGGATGAACACATGATAGGCCAACACCTTGGCCTAAGTTTTCACCTAAGGAAATAATGTGGTTTATGGTAGCACCTGGAAAAAGCAGAAGCTTGTTCTGCTCATTAAGTAAGAAGTGCTGCAGGGCACTTGTAATAAACCAGAGTTTAAATTTAATCTAAATTCCATTTTTCCAATTACCCTAAGTAATACACCAACTCGATGATTTTTTTTTCTCCTCACCAACCTAGAGAAATAGGTCAGTGTCATTCTGCTGCCTGGTTTCAGTTAAATGGAGTTATTTTATTTACAGATTTTCAAGCTCATGGAAGAACCATGGGAAGTTCTGAGGACTCCACAGCTCTGCTGGAGTCCATGGGAGGCTCCCTGAGTTCTTATATGTTGAACTGGGATGGAGTTTAAGTACTTCCAGTCCACAGAATCAAAATCAAATTTCTCCCAGATAAGTGAGTTCACCTGTATCTGCCTTCTCTCAGTGAAGTGTCACAGCACACACTAACCTGTCAAACATGACACCTACACTATCAAATAGTGATTCAAAAACATGTTCAGCACCATGTTCAGTAATTACAAAGCTTAGAAACGCTCACCTCTTCACACAGGAACTTTTATACTGTTGTTAAATTAACATCAGAAATATCTGGGTCAGAATGGACAAGTTCGCCCCATCACAGCACCAAAACCTGCCTGAGTTCAGGAAGTGTTCAGACAATGCTCTCAGGCACACGGTGTGATCCTGTGCAGGGCCAGGAATTGGACTCAGTGATCCTAAGGGATACCTACCAACTCAGCATATTCTAGGATTCAGCTGGCCACCCATTTCAAAGGGAATGGTCAGTAAAAACAGAGCAGGATTTGCCCCATTCCAGAGAACTGATAATTTTTCCAGTGTTCCCAGATAATGGTGAAAACAAAACAAAGAAAATTAGAAAAGGAAACTGCAGAGGAGTGGGGTCCCCGAGGACAGCAGTGTTCAGCCAAACCTGGGCTGCCAACAAGAACAGCTCCATGGAGCAGAGCCAAGAGGTTGCCAGTTGGCTGTACCTACGTGCTCCAGTCTCCCAGTGACTTCTGGTTCTCAAGTGCAACATGAGGAACAAAAATAGAGCACGAGGGAACTGAAAGAGAAACCTCGCTCTAAATATTCCCACTTGTTTCTATTTTCCTCCCTCTGCGAGCTCCACATCAGGAATTTTGTTTCCCCAAGGCAGAGAAAGTGGTTTATATACGCTCTCTGAGGCTCTTGTTTCCTTCTGAAGGGACCTCTTACCCCTTCCCAACTGTCATTTTCTTTTATAATTTTAGTTTGATCAGTGTTTATACTGCACTCCCCGATGCTCTGGCCCAAATGGCCTTCGGGCTCTCATCAGGTCAGCAGTGCTGCCCCACTCCATCATCTGTCTGCTCCTTTGTGTCACACATTCACACCCACAAAGTGATGTTACCCCCGTGTAAGTAATTCCATAACTCAGCCATAACGTTTGCACCAAAATGTACTGTTTATTTGACTTTGAGACATAATATTAGATACTCGAAGTTTTGCCTCTTAATGAATGAGGTTATGGAGATGTTTGTTCAGCACACGCCACTCTTCATTATGACATACAAGTCATTAAAGTTATTAAAGGTGGAGTCCCAGTGATGCTCATAGTTCACGTTTTCCATGAAGAATCCCTACTTTCTTACTTGCAACTGCAACAAACTTCAGCCTTTATGCCTTTATGCCTGGAGCTTTCAGCCTCTCCCTTGTTGGTTTAGGGAACATGGTTCCAGGGTCTCTCCTGCCTGCTTTGCCAGTGCAAGAGGCAGTTTGTGTTCAAGCATTAAAACCAGGAGGGAAGGAGCCCCACAATAGACCACGGGACTCTCTCCAGCCAATCTGCAAACAACCCTTCCCACTTGGCTCCACACAGATCCCTGCAAGAATCAGCACATGGTACCAGGGGAAGCCTAAGCTTTCCCCATGCCAAGATGGATACACAGTCCTCTGCCTAACTCCAGAGAGAGACAACTTTACAGGCAGGAATGTCCAGTGCTATTTTTCCAGAATATTGATGAACAACAGACCTAAAAGTCCGTTCACCTGGCTCCCAGCTCACATAAAGAGTCACTGCTACGTCACTTTACAGTTCTCGTTGGGTCTGGGAAACTCTACAAAAACCTAAGATACTGAAAACAAACAACTTTCTCCAAAGCCATAACATTATTTTAACATGTTTATTGTGTTTCTAAACAACCTAACGTGTTGTGGTATAACACAGTAGTTATTTACATGGAAAATGCTGCTCCTTGAAACCAAGCGCTTCCACCAGACTGTTCCGTGAGAAAAGTTGGGCTAAGCTCAGTCATGTCCTTATCTATTTAGAGATGCTTTTTAATTCTGAACTTGCACTGCTGCTCAAGCCTTGAGCAGACTCAGTAGGGGATTACTGCATTTTAAGTACTGTTCAAAGCCAATGGAAGAAAGGCTTCCAAGGAGCTGATCCCAAGCAATCTAGCTTGATTGAACCAAAGCCAGTCGTGCACAATTGCCAGAACCCAGTAGTCCCCTTCCACTCTCCCAGGGCCTAATGATGGTTCTGTAAATGATTCTCTAAGCAGCTCATAACAGGCCCTGCTTTTACCCCAGCAAATTCCAGTTTTAGTCATCCCAGATGAATTACCCAGTTCCAAACAAGACAAGGAAGCAATATTAAAAAAAAAAAAGAAAGAAAGAAAGAAAAATCATCACTAATTATAGCTTGTGCTGCCACCCTTCATGTCTAAGGGTTTCGCATTTTTTCAGGCTGATTTTGACTTTCTCATCAACAGATCATATGCCTTAACTAGAGCTGGTTCAGAACAGATGGAGTTGGGACAGATGAGTTGAAGCTTTCCCTGTGTTTGCACCTATTTTAGTGGTCAGTCGTCTCACTGGGTCGCCCTCGATATATCCGACCCCGACTATTCCCACATACCTCGCAGCAAAACAAATCCCCGCGGCTTATATCGGGAGGATTATACACGAACACATTCCGAGGAGCAGCAGTCCGCAGCTCACGTGTCCTTTCCCGCTGCCCTCGGAGAGGTGGACGAGCACCGGGAGCTGTTTGGGCGGCGGGGCCCGCGCGAGCCCAGCCGGCCACACCGGAGCACGCGGAGACGGGGATCAGCCGCGCTGGACGCCGGCCAAACCCCGGCTTATGTAGGCCCCAACAAGGGTAACTTTTACTCAGATGAACGTCTGTAAGCCATAAACCTATTTGCTTTAAGGAGCTAAAGGAATTGAACAAAGAGTGCCACCTTGTTTGCTTCCTCAAACCTCTGCTCCGACCGGCGCGTCCAGCCCCGCCGAGGGGTTTGGGCTGCGCTTCGGGCCGTGTTTACATTGAGCTGTCACTTTTTTTGGGGGGGGATCTGTCAATAGCTACAGCATATTACATTACCCCAAGCCAAGATAGCAACACAGCTTGCAAACAGCAGTTTCTGCATTGCCAGACACTTAACTAGATGGTAGATTTATACCATTGTTCATGCTTGGTTCTTTAAAAAAAGAAAGCAGGAATATACCTCTAAGTGTGTATTAAATATAGAACAGCCCAAAATAATAAAATAGTACTGTGGTCTGCTTTTAACAAACATCATAAATTCTTTTAGAAGGCTCAATCGACACAAATGGAATTCAAAAAAAAAAAAAAAAGAAGGCAAGCAAATGCCTCCCTTCTATCATACAGGAATTCATAACATCTGAGTTTCAAACCAGTGGGAAAACAGCAAGCACGACACGAGTTCATGGAATTGAAATCCCTATCAGTAGTTTCTCTTCACTGTAGTCCTGGTTTGGTGTTTTTATCTTCTAATTTTGCTTTAATATCGTTCATTAGTATGTAGAAATGATGAGCTGTAGCCTGTTTAAGCCAGGGGAACTCAGAGGACAACAACACTCCAACCAGCACATGCACCTCAAATAGATTTCTTGCAGTCTGGGTTGTGCCATATTTGAAAGTTGCAAGCAGCAGAAAACAGAAACAATTTTTCCAATAATAGGGAGTCAAGATCCATTTCTAAAGTCTGCTCTATTTTTAAGAATTCCCCACAAATTCCTATGGAAGAATGTTTAAAAAAAAATAAAAACTCCAACATTTCATGAACATGCACCAAGGAAAACATAAACAAGCAAATGTTGGTGTGATTACCCTGGTCAACCAATCCTAAAGAAATTTCTATTTTAATTTTTTTTCCCCTATTGGTAAATCTTCTGTGATCAGAAAGGTGAACTTTGCAGTAGCAAATGAAGTGACATGGAGATACTGCTACACTCTGACAGGTAAACTTATGCCCTTCTTGGCAGCAGCCCTTCCCCAAGAACCTGTACAGGAAAACTAGTAAAATCTGGATACACCTCTTTTGAAAAACAAATCCATCCATGGTTGCAATAAAAGAATTAAAAAAAAAAAAAATGCTTTCTGCCTTGCCCGGCAGGAAACCTTTGAAATGCAAAGTGAGGAGGAAGACCCAGCTTGTGGATAAATAGCACAGCCTTGGCTTCTGCACATCCCAAATCCTGCTACAACAAAGCATCAAAGCACTACAGCAAACATCACAGCAGTGGAGGCAAAGATAACCGAGCCAAAAGAATTCAAGCATAACACTAATAGACAGATATTTCTGGATTCTGGAGCTAAATTAGCCAGCACCAAAACAATCACACTGCTGTGTCCTAATCAGCAAGAACAAACTTCTTAGAATCAGCATCTGGGGACCAAAAAAAGGCTGGCTGTTATTTTGGAAAATCATTTCTTCTCAGAAAGCCTGAGTTATTTATTTTTCTCCCAAACTGGCTGAAACATTCTGTTAATTCAGCAAATAGTTTTGGAGAAAACAAAATAAGAATTCGAGACAGAAGTCGTCTTGCATTTGGTTCAAGATTTGATGCAGCACTTTGGTTTTTGCATCTCTGTATTAAACTGGTGTTAAAATGGAGTTCTCATCCCACAGGATGGGTTTCCTTGTGTTTCATTCAGTGTTTTAATGCAGAGGTCATGAATGAACTCCTCTTTCTTTCAGGCTTTGAACAGGCAGCAAGGTCAGGATGCTCAGAACTAAACTTCTCTTTTGTTTTAAGGCTGTTCCACATAAATTTTATATGTTATTCTGACATACAAACACCAGCTCAGAGATCCAAGAGCTGTGGGCCCTGAGTACCTTGTCACACCCTCCCTGCTGGCTGGATATCCATTGACTCCACACCTGGAAGGGCATCCTCAAAGCAAGACAGGGAGTAAATGGGGACCCTCCCAGTACTTCTTTGGTCCAGTGATTTGGCCACTCTCTTCTGCTGCAGGAAAGCCACATCCTCTGTGCTAAACCAGAGAAATAGCCCTATATCCTGAAACAAATGCTCTAGCATTCAGTATTTCCCCAGGGACTCTCACCCTTTATTCCAGTATTTCCTTCAGGAAATGGGGAAA